TGGCCGCCTGGCGAGCGCCGGACGCGGCGGAGGCGGGGGACACGGCAGCCAGGAGCTGCACAGGCTGTGTGCAGGCACTCCGGTGCCAAGCTGGGTGCTGCCGGGACGGCTGCCGGGAGGCGATGGAGTTGCCACTGCTCCCCTGTTGACGGGATGCCCACGGGCAGAATGTGCAGATTGCTGGCACCGCAGCTGGGGACAGGGAGGGGAGGGAGCCCCAGCCCTGTAGAGCTCCTGGAACGGCTTCTCCAAAACCAGCCCGGCTCTTCCCTGCCAGCCCCAGGGATGAATTTGCTGCTCCCTACCATTAAGAGAGACACCTTAGTTCTGAGCACAGCTGGGTCAGAACACTGCCACAAAGAAACATTTTTATCAGAGACAATAAAGACACGATTTCCACCTGGAAATTGCCCAATTTGACTTGTGATCCTTTAAAAGAAGCCCATCACATCCCAATTCTCAGAGCAATTTAGTCTCTGTTGGAGCCAGCAGCCCTTTGGTACCGGCTTTCCACCTGTCAGGAGATCAGAACAAGCATTTTATTCACTCCTTTCCAGCTCTATCAAAGCAGCTACATCACAAATGCCTCAGCTATCCTCCCTCTAATCCAAGTCCACAGGCTTTGTGTCACCTTCCTTCCCTCCTGGTCCTCACCAGCTCTTTCTCCTCCAGCAGCTTCATGGTCCTTTCCTTCTCCGTGTCGGTGGCCAGGGTCCAGCTCTCTGTCTGCCTCAGATGTCACCTTGCTTTCCCTGCCCCATGCTTCTTGCCCACTATTTCCCTTTCCACTGCTGTTCCTACTTTGCTCTTTTGTTTCTCTGGGCACCAGCTTTGCCAGCCTCATTGGGGCTGTCAAGTCTCTCCACCCTTCCCTCCTGTCCCACACTGAGACCTGCCTCTCCCACATCACCCCTCTGACCTTTCCAGCCCCCAGGCCACCTCACCTGATGCTCATGCCACAGCAACCTTTCCCAGGAGTGGTGAAGGCTTTGTCACACCCCAGGGATGAACAGCCCCTCAATCTGCATGCTGGTGCTGTGCCCAAGACAGAAGCAGTGGTGTCAGATGAGCACCCATGGGAGCTCTTCAGTGTTGACTGGAGCAAAACTGCTTACTGCAGTCATGTCTGTGGGGCTGACGAAAGCACTTTCTTCTCCCCTTGAGCTGTGGTTCACCCTGCAGGGCTCAGGGCTGAGACATGCCAGGTATCCAAACTGCTGCACAGGCTCCTATGGCTGAGAGAGGGCTTTGGTCCATTCCTGCCAGGCACATTGTCCATGAGCTTTCACAGCCCTTCCTTCACCCCCCTCTCTAAAATGACAACTGCCCAAGTGACGTTGTGCCTTTGCTTCTCAGCAGCCTTTCTGAGATGCTTTTCTCTTGGGCAGAATCACAAGCTTGGATGCCCAGAGGCAGAGGTACTGTGTGCTGCCCGGACCTGAGCCTCTGCTGAGAAGATCTAAAGCACCTCCTGAGAGCTCCTAGGAAGATCTGGACTCAGGGAAAAGTGCTCAACAAATCTCCTATGCTTTCTTTCGTCTTCCATCAGGAGTGGGTCCACATCTGTCCTGGGGCTATGGCTGCTGTACCTGGCCATGGTGCTTAACCATCAGCTGGATCAGGAGCAGGCATTCACAGTGTCCCCTGCCCTCAGAGCAGCCAGGGCATGGCAGTGCAGCAGGACACCAGTACCTGATGGCACCAACCTCCCCTGCTGCTGTCCTGAAGGGGAAAGCCTTCAGCCAGGGTGGGCTAACCTCACACTGGAGTCTGGGGACATGCAGCACAGCCACAACCTGCTAAAGAGCCTGGGGAGCAAGGCAGAGTGTTTGCTTGACAGGACAATTAAATGATGATTGATTCCTGGAACAGCTACTTAATTCATCATTAACTGGCTTATCATAGCCGGCATCTGTGCCAAGGGTCCCTCTGAGAACTGCCTCAGGGGATGTGGTGTGGAGGTGAGATCTGTGAAATACGAAGCTAAATTTGCTACCTCTTTATTTTCATGCCTTATTTTGGCTCGTTTTACCCAGTACTCGCTTTAAGAAGCTGAGAGTACACAACACAGCTGTGCATTTCCCACTCTGCTGGGGACTGCTGCAACAGGGCTGGGGAGTGTGGGGGCCCTGCTCAGCCAGCTGGTTACAGGAGCAGCCGTGCACAGGGGGAGGCAGCTCTCTAGGGAGCCAGCAGCTGTCAGGCAGCAGCAGAGCTGCAGCAATGGTTCAGCTCAACTAGGGCACCGCAGTCTGCCTCCTCCCAGCTGTGCCCAAGGTGTGCATGTGTGCTTGTGTGTGCATAGCCTCCCTGTGCACCGTTACCTGCTGCCAGTATTGCCCAGGCTAGCCTCATGGGGCTAATGGATATCCACACTATCCAGTCTTGCTGGTAATCAGGACAGAAAATGGTCAATCTGTGACAATTTGTCTTTTACTGCTTTCTTGCTTTCATCTTCTGACTTCATTCCTCTTTCCTCAAGCTTGGTTATTAACAGGCTTGCTTTATCACCAGGCTTATTTTATTACTAGGCTTCCTTTTTTAAGTCCCTGCGTGGCTAAATTTCCTGTAGGATTCAGATAACCCAAATGGGGTTTGCGGACAACTGCAGGGCTGGTCTGACTCTCTCCTTCCCTGTGCATGTGCATGCAAGGGCTGGTCCTCACCTTCCATTCCTTCTCTAATGTCATCCCTAGAGGCTTGATGGCCCTTGTCTCTGCAAACCAAGACCATTCAGTACATGTTCTCTATGTGATGTGCTGATCTCAGTGACTGAAGAGTGGGAAACATCTCTTAATCCCTTTGGTAGTGGGACTCTTTCACACCTTCACTGCTATTGCAGAGGAGGGTTTCAGCCTGGCTGCTTTCCAGCAGGGCTGAGCACACTGCTGTAAACATGTTGTGACACTGGCCCTCACTGTCCCCTCCCCACTGCTGACAATGCCAGGACTGGGCATGAAGGCTGCAATTGGTGGCTCCTTTGCTTATTTATCAGAATCACTGTGAGATTTTCTTCTGCGCTTTTCTTCTTGTCCCTGCAATCTCCCAGGGAGAGCATCAGTCCCAACTCCCAAGAGTGGAAGGTAGACAGGAAAAGAGATTTTAGTACAGGTAAATCTTTTATAATTCCAAAGGGTACAGGACTAGGACAGGCTAAATTCTTCTAGCTGTAGCTCTGCCCTGTCCATGCTTTGTGCAGCAGCTTCAGCTTTAGAGCTTCAGCTCTGCTCTAAGGACAGCTCCAGGACAGTTTGAGGGACCAGAGAGGTTAGAGCTCACCCCAGTTCCCTGGGATGAAACCTCACCCCAGCCCCCATTCACAGACTTCCCCATACTTCGCCTTTCTAGCATCCTTTGGGACTCAACAGAGTCCATGTCCAGCAGCAGTCCAGCTGCATAGATGCACTCTTCCCACACTGGTTCCCTGGCACCTCCCAATCAGCCTTTTAGGTTTCCAATTCCTCCCAGCTCCTTTCCCTTCTTTCTCCCTCCCACGCTGTTTCCCAGAGCTTGCTACTGTGAATGTATGGCTTTTCTGTGTGGCTCTGCTCCTTCTCCAGCCTGTTGCTGAGGACCTAAAGTGAGAAGCACAGCAACTTCCACACAGGAAGCACCTGCTGCCCAGTGGCCAGCAGCCTGCCCGCAGTCCGTCTGCTGGTGTTTCTCAACACATTTGGAACTGACTCCCTTCAGCAGTTCTCAGCAAGATCCCACTCCTTCCTACCCTAGCTTGCTGCCAGAATCATTTCTTGAGATAAGGTTTGGATGCTGTACTAAAACCGTCAATTTTCTCTCTCTGGCACTGGGCTCCTGCTTTCGCTGCTGCTCTCAAATGACACTCGGTGACTGCTCTGTCCTTACTGTTTTGTTAAAAATTAAGTTGTTTTATTAGAAATCTAATTTGCATGTTAAGGTAAGCAAAGAAGAGAATCATGGTTTCCTTGCCTGAAAACTGGGATGTAGCTTTGAGCTTCTCTGTGCCTATGCAGAAAATAAAACCATCTTTGCTACAAATATGCATCTCCCTTAAATATTTTGAAAATACTTAATGGCCATCTGCTGCACGAGCCATTACTGGTTTTATAAGTAAAGTGGGAGACTGTCAAGGCAGGGGGTGGTTTTGGGAAGGGAGAAGTGAAGGGCATTCACCAAAATGCAGTGTTTTAGCAGTACAAGAGGGCTTCTGAACACTTCCATTTTCCTGAGCAGATTTCCAGAATGTGATGGCCACTGCCTGAAACAAAGCCATTGGACAGGTCCATTTAAAACCATGCACGGCTCCCAAACCTGCATGATGTGGTAGAGTTTGGCCAAGGAAACAGGACCACCTCAGCTTCTCACTCTCTAAAGTCTTCAGTTCCACTATTTCTATTTTCCTTCTTGAGATTTAAGCCAAGGTGATGTGCTGTCTGTCAGAAAACCTAGTGCACCTCAGGGATTCTTACAGCAGGAGGAAGTGTGACCCTGCTACACAGCATCCTGCAGAGGAGTCAGTGACCGAGGTCTCTAAGGAGGACAGCAACATTTGAGGTTGCAAGGCAATGAAGTGGCATGGTCTGGGAGCTGGGAAAATGCTAAAGAGATGGCAAAACCTGGGATCAGGTAGTGAAGAGGGCAAAGTAATTGTTTCTCTCTCCTGAGAATGCTGATGTTTCACTGCACTTTTTCTTTGTTCCAAGGTGGGTTGGGAAGCCAAAATAGTAAGTACTCCTCTGAAGGAAAGGGGTGGAAGTATTTCCTCTGAGAAATTTTCATGGGGAAAAAAACATGAGAGCAGTACAAGATTTCAGCACTCTGAAATGGAAGAAGGGAGAGGGAGGTGAATTTCCCTGAGGAAGAAACCCATGTTGACATTTGTAGCTGAGGATTTCATTTGGACTCAGCATTTTCTGAAGCTGGTGGCCCACAGCCAAAGCTGTCTGGTTGCCACTGTACCCAGGAGTGGAGCTGGTTTAAACAGCACTTTGATGTGATGGATCATTTACTTAAAATATCATCATTTCAAAATGGACCGAACCCCATGGAGTCTCTCCTTTAATCACCACATCTTTCCTTTCCTTTTCACAGCTGGCTGAGCATCCAACACTAAATACCACCTCCATGTCCTCACAGCAGCCCCCTGGCTTCCCTTGGTGGCTCACTGGGGCCAGCCCCAGCTCAGCCTTGGATGAGTCCTAGAGAACTTCCCGTGAAAGCCGGTTAGGTGTATGTGTATTGTCCAGAGGGATATAATTCACCCTGCAACCCTCTCCTTTGGGAAGTCAGGGAGGCTCCTCGAGTGTTACCTCTCCTCGAGACTGTCAGTCTCTTATCTACTTCTGTGCTGTCAGTCATTGTCACAGCACACATTATGAACCAGCAGAAATGATGCAGTAGGTCCTTTCCTGTCAGGCTGCACAGGGCCAGCTTAAGATGCATTATAGATACAGCAAGCCCTCATGTTAATCCAGCCTGAATCAGATCACCTTACTGCGGGGCTGCATCCTTATCTTGCTCCCAGCTGGGGAGATAGCATTCAAGCTGTGCTGAGGTGGGGAGGGGTCTTGTTCTTTCCAATATCACCAAATTTTTCTGTTCCCACTAGCCTCTCAACATTGGCTGTTGCATGGGTGAAAGGCTTTTCTGCTCCCTTGCCTTGCTGAAATAACAGCCTATTCCCTCCCACCTGCTCTGCTCCTGCAGGATCTCCCCACCACCACCACTGCCGGCAGCATGGAAAGCGTGCGTGAGCTCCAAAACCCACTCTTGGCCAAATCCAATGGCCACCTTCGCAGCAGCTATTCTTACCACCAGCATCACAGCCAGGACTACCCCAGTCATCGCTGCCAAGGGAAACTGTATTCCTACATATTCCAAAACACTGGCGGTGCCAGGACTCACCAGCTGCTGGATGCCAGTTCCCTGCAGCTGGCTGTCGAAGCTTTGTACGGCCCCAGTTTCATCCTCGTGAAGGATGAGACTGCTCTCAAGGCCAAGGACAGCAAGATGGAAAGCTGCGAGACCACTTTTACAGAAAGCAAAGAGTCTCCATCTGAAGCTCCTGAAGGGCATGAGGCACAAGGGTCCTGCCTGGTAGAGAGTGACATCCGCATCCAAACTGTTTCCTATGAGGTGGAGGAAGAGGAGCTCCAGGAGTATGAGGTGAGCTTGGACAGGTGGGATAGCACTAAACTCCTTTGGTCATTCTTTCTGGTCAATGGCTCAAATTCTTGATAATTTATTGTCCCTTCTTTACCCAGAACTCCCCCAAAAATCCTACCACCTCCTGCCTCACCAGCCTTCCTGTGCAACCAGTATTTCTTCTTCCTATCATTTCTGCTCCTTTTTCCTCACTGCTGACCTCAGGAGGTCAGCTTCCCCACGAGCAGCCTGGCTGCCTGCTGCTGGGAGCAAAAGGGATGTTGGTCTCTGCAGGACCCTTGGGAAATGGGAATGCTTTGACAAGGGTAGCCTGCTGCTGCTGTGGCACAAGAGAAACAGCAATCCGTGCATAACAGCAAAATCCACATGCATGATGGCAGCAGCTGAGAGAAAGCTTTATATACATAAAGACAGGATGAATCCTGCACAGGAAGAACGAGAGCTGACAAAGCAGCCTCGTTGCTGTGTTGTTCCCTGCTATGGCTTGAGCAGTGGTGCCAAGGCTGGGAAACATCATCCAGGATCTTGAGAGGTGGGAGAGGATCCCCGAGCTCACTGGAGCTGATGCCTGATGACCCAGCACAGCTCTGCTTCTTTCGGTGTTGGTGATGTAGCCTGCCCAGGTGGCAGCAGGGACGTCCCCACCTCTGTGTCCCTTCCCCACCAAGACACATCACTTGCAGGGTGGTCTGAGCACCCAGCGGTGCCCAAAGGCAAGGGGCTCAGCACAGCCACTGAGCAGTGACTCACAAAGGGGACAGGGCATGCTGCCCCTGCAATGTCACTCCACTTCAAATGCTTTCCCTCACTTCCTAAATTAGTCTTGCAGGATATTGATCTACTAGTCTCTAATGGGGATAAGTCACTTTGTTTAAGTTTGTTTAAGCTGACAAACAGTCAGTTCTGCCAAAGCTGAAAATATTTCAGTTTAAGACTCTCTCTAATGCAGGGAAATCCCAGACCCCCAGCATTTGCTCTGGCAGGAAGCCGAGAATCCATTTCACTCTTGAATTTGCTGAGCTACGTTGTTCCTCATCAAACCATGCTGAAGAGTCTAAAATATTTTTGAAATTTACTCCTTGAATTTGCCAGTGGGAATTGTATGAGAACATGACGGGATCAGGAGAGAGTGGGAGCTGGGAGGCGAGGTGCTGAGATGCAGAGTGGCACGGGGAGGTGGGCATGTGCTGAATCCATCTGGTTTTGCAGAGCGATTCCTCCAGCGACAGCGAAAGCGAGGATCATTTCCTGATGCTCCCCCCCCGGGACCACTTGGGCTTGGCCCTTTTCTCCATGCTGTGTTGCTTCTGGCCCCTGGGGATTGCTGCCTTCTACTTCTCTCAAGGGGTAAGGAATACATTTGCTTGCCTGCATGTGCCAAGTGCTAAAGCAAGGGCCCTGAAAGCCACAGCGGCCCATGGAGGTGACCAACACCTTTCTGAATCTAAGGCTCACCTCTGTGCCATGGCCATAACTCTGAGGGTTGAGACAAAGGATGCTCCTGGATGTCTCCACAGTTGTTATGGGATTGGAGCCCCTCCAGTTCTGGTGCGGATTACTGGAGGTCAGGCTTTTCCTTTGGGTTTTCTGGAAGTTATTTAGGGAACTGGGGCTCCTTTTGCACCCTTTCCCAGCTTCTCACCCTCCATCCAGGTTCAGGAAAATGGCATTTTCCTACCTGTCCTCCCATTCTCCAGTAATGTGAAGGTTCTACACCACAACCCAGACTGATGCAGCTCGTGCCACAGGAGCCAGGCTGCTCTGGGGCTGGACACAAAGGGGAGCGTATTGTCCACAGCTCCTCTCCTGTGCTTGTTCCTGATGCATATTGGCTAACCTGTGGGAGCCAATGCCAGGCTGGCAGAGGCTGGAGAGGCAATGGCCCTCAGGCTGCAGCAGCTCAGAGGAGCTGCTGAGTCCTTGAGGGTTTAGCCCAGAGCCTGGGTTCACTTACATTGCTGTTGACCCAGAATAATTCATGCAGAGCCAGGGGATTTACTCCACAATTGCATAGATGCTGCTGTACCAAGAATAGATGGGAGAGGCATTAAGAAGTTAAATCAGGAGGATAGGAACAGAAGTGGAAAAATATATTACATGAGTGCCTGGCACAGATCTGGTGAGAGGCAAGGGAAGCATTAATTGATTAGGACCCCAAGGAGCAGTTGATTTTACAATTTTCCACGTAGTGCAAGATAGCACAGTGCACTCTCCACCTGATGATGTAGGTGGGGTAATTTAAATCTAGCTCCATTTTCTATAATTACCCCCTTTGTTCACTCACTGAGGCAAGGACCATATCTTTGTTTGGTGTCTTTTCACATTGAGTGCATTGGTGCCCACTGGCAACTTGAACTCAAGTAGTAGGTAAAAACTAGAGCAGCTTGGAATATGCCCTGAGCACTCAGAGAAGCTGGAAGTTGCCATCCTTTTCCAGAGTGATGAGGCTCTGTCTCCACTGCTGGTTTCATCAGCCCTTCAATAGCAAATAGACTTCCAGACAGCTGTCACCCTGTGCACTGAGGCCTTACAAGGGTGCAGCCACTCACAGCTCTGGCTGTGTGCCCACATAGGTGCTGTCAGAAGTAGCTGAAGCCCATGCTTCCCTTGGAGGCAAAATCCACTGGGAAATGTGTGCAGGTGGCACTGCTGTTCTGAGCCCTCCCAGACTGACAGACACCTTGCTGTCTGTCCCCAGCCTCCCTGAGGCGCAGTGGCCAGACAAAAAAGCACTGACCCAGTAATGAAACAACTGCATGCTGGTTAAAGGGCAGGTTGGTACAGCTGTGAGCAACAAGCATTTCTTCTCCTTCCAGACCAGCAAGGCTGTCTCCAAAGGAGATTTTCATCTGGCCAGTTCAGCTTCCCGCCGAGCTCTCTTCCTTGCCGCGCTCTCCATAACCATTGGCACAGGAGTGTACATCGGGGTGGTGGTGGCACTGATTGCTTATCTCTCGAAGGGGGGCCACGTGTAGCTGCCACCTGCATGTCACTGCCATCCCTGGCCGCTGACCCTTCTGGGATTGAGCTTTCCTGCGGAGCACAGAGCACCAGTGCCTGCAAGGGCTGCTTGCACAGCAGGGCCCCAGCATGGATGTCCTGTGCAGGTTTTCTTCCTCTTTCAGACAAACAGTAGACCCCTGTTCTCCCTGAGGCTGTGGCGTGCAACCATCTAACAACAGGGAATTGAGCACCAGCCTGGCTGATGGGACAAGGAGGAGCACATTTGCCTGGTGGAAGATGTGCAGGAGAGAAACCACACGCTGCTGCTGGGCTGGTGCGACCACCCTGATTTGGGGCTACAGCTTCCCTTCTCAGCCCCGCAGACTTGCCCAGGCTTGGCCCATGAAGGGTACACACAGGGAGAAGAGGGAACACGGTGCCAGGCAATGACTGCTGCTTCTTCTGGGAGGCCAGAGTCCTGGTGGGGTCTCCAGACTCCTGCCTGACCCCTCAGCTGCAGTGAAGTAGGAGGACAGAGCACGGAGAAACCTAAGAGGCGTGCTCTCTGCATCCCTCTGCAGACCCCTGATCCACGGGAGAACATCCCAGTTGCTGGTCTATCCCAAATCAGAAACAAGGAGGAAGGCAGGCTGGTGGTTGCACAGCATCTCTCCCATTGTTGGCACAAGATGGTAAAGACAGCAAGGTTTTCTCTGTGTTAATTGTGACTGCCATGATGATCCCAAGTCAGAGCCCTCATAAGGTTGCCGTCTCAGAGTACTGGGCCCTCAAAAGATTTGTAATGGAAATCTCTACCTACGAAGTGTCCTGGGAAGGGTGCTGGCCTGAAGGATTCCATTCCTTCTACTAGGTCAGGGCCCTACACACAAAGAGGGATGGAAAGAAAAGGCTGACAAAACCTGCAGAATCTGGGGTGGGAGTGCTGTTTATGAGGGGATGAGATCCAGAGACGGAAGAGATGTGGAAGGAGCCTGAGACACAGGGTGACCTCAACACACTCCTTCTGATGCCTTGGAGAGAGGAACCTCCATCCATCCAAAAGCCTCTGGTAACAAGGAAATACCAAGTATCCCCCCCACACATCTTACTTTTGCATATTTGTATATTGTCAGCAACACATTAAATGCTTCAGAGGTGGGTATGAAGGCAATGGTTGCCCCAAAGGGCTGACATTAAGAAGCCATGCCTCACCCCCCGCTCTCCAGCATCTGCCTTTGACCATCCCTCCTCTCTCTGGTTCCCCTGTTGCCTCTTCCCATGTGCAGGAGACTGCAGGCAGACTCTGGGCATCTCTCACACCCTTCCCAGAGTTTCTGGGCAGGCTGCAGCCAGCTTTGCAAGAGATGCAGCATGTTCTTCCAGCTGGGTGCCATTGAAATGTAAATTTCATCCTAAAGAAGCATGTTAATGTCTGCGATTGCCATTGTACTTGAACCACAAAAGAGAAGCGCATCAGAGGTCTGTACAGAAGCTGGTCTGAAAGTTCCTATTATGTTTTTTAACATGGAAGAACTAATAAAAAAAGCAGGAGAAAAGACTCTGTTTATAATAACGTGGAGCTGGCTATCAAAGAGGCAAGTTCCACAAGAGTGCTGCACTCACTTAAACCTGGAACTGTTTATGCTGTTCCTAAAGGAAGTTATAATCTAGCTGGTGTCTGGGTATCTTGGAGGGAGATGTATTTCAGCATAGATCACAGTGGGCAAATACCCCTGAGAGCAGGATGGTGGTGTAGGCTTTTCTTTCCCTGTGTAGCTGGACAAAAACTAGGGAGAGAGACCAGAGCATCTTCATGTAGTAGAAGCATGAAACCTACTTGAAGAGGGGCAGAAGAATACAAACATCAGGAGGAAATAAGCAGGTCTTGCTTCTGATGATGAACAGAGAGGCAGAATTTGCAGGGAAGGACTGGCATGTCCAAAAGAGATGAGGTGGCCTTAGAGAAAAGTAATAAGGGGCAGACTCGCCCAGCACCCATGTGGTGGTTTTCATTCCCCTCTCCTGCATGTGCTCAGCCATCCTGGACACCCATTCCTCCAAATAACCAAGCAAGAGCAATATTTCAGGAGAGGGGACATCTGTGGGTGTATCTGCAGCTGGGGTGACCGGCCCTACCACCCCCCAGCTCAGTGCTGCCCCAGCTAAAGCCCTCCTCATCTCTCCCCTTCAAGTACCCCAGAATCAGCAGGGGAGTCCCTGCTGATTCTGGTCCAAACAAAATTATTTGGGCCGCCAGGCTAGAATCTACAATAAGATACAGCATTTGCTTCTGAATTTGTAATTCTTACAGCTGGTTCCCTCCAGGGCCTTCCAAGGGTGGGGGGTCCAGCAGTCTTCAGCCCACTTCCCATGGCCATTCCATCCCTCTGAACCCCAAACTGCTTCTTTGTCTTTTTTTAATTGGAGATGCATGGAGAAGGAGCAGGCTAAAGGGCCAACAGAATTAGAGTCTTTTCCGCTAATAGCCTGAATCTCTGATGAACTTGTCAAAGCTGGGGAGAAGGGGCTGTGCCAGAGCATCCCTAAGGGGGCATTATGCAAATGGAGAAATTAGTCGGAAACAGCCTGAAGGGAAACATGTGGTAATTGAAATCCGAGGAAGAGCATGATCACTGCTAAATAACTTATTACAAACTCACAGCATCTGCTGTAGCTGCCTAAACAGAAGGGAAGGAAGCAAAAAGGCAACAAGACACAGCAGTCAGGGAAGGTTCAAGCTCCAGAAATTTGATTGAGCTAAAAAAAAAAAAATTAAACTAAACTCTACCAGTGGGTGTGGAAGAAGTGACTCTTCACCCCCTTCCTCCTGTCCTCCCAGAGAAGGGGTCTCTCTCCCACCAGGACCCTCAGCTCAGCAGCAGAGCTCTGTAGTGGTCCAGATCATACAGGAGATACCCAGAAATTTGGGAGGAAGGAGGAATAGCCTTTATTTAGCCTCCTTTTAGTGGAGGAGGGTTGGTAAACAGTGATGTCCTATAACGACAACCTGCTGTCCTTCTCTGCATCCCAGAGCTTTCTAAAAAATAACTGCTCTGGTACTGAATAGTTCCGTGACACAGCAGAACAACTCCCTCTTCTCCATTCATGCCTAGGAGATATCTGTTTGTAACCAAGTTTCCCACCAGATGGCTGCAGGTGCCTGTCCCTGTGAGCACAGGCACCTCAGCACAGGTCTTTCAATCCCCTGGCCTCAGCAACCCTGTACCATCACCCCCCTGCCCATTGCTCCCCAAATGCCCATGGCCTGGCTCAGTTGCCCCGCCAGTACTACCAGCCTTCATCCTAAGCCAGTGACACTGAGAGACAGACACACACAGTCAGCAGAAAGCCCATTTCCTGCTGCCTTCCCCAAGTCTGTGCACAACCACCCCTCTCTCATTTCACACACTCTCTGGCCTTTGAGTTGCCAGAAGTGCCATGACCAGGTGCCCTCCTTGCTGTGAGGACCAAGCCAGCCTCACTGCCTGGACTGGTTGAACATCCCCTCTATCCCTCCCCTACCTTGGAGATGCTCCTTGCTCAGCCAGGAGCTCAGAGCAGCACCGTCAGGTATATTGGGATTTGGTTTCTTTTCACAGCAGTGGAAAACACGTTGTCTTCCAGCTTGAGTTCCTTTTGTAACCTCCCCAGCATCAAGCATCAAGGTGAGCACTTCCTGTGGACCCTTCTCTTCAGAAGCAACTAAGGACAGGGTGGATGGAGCTGTGCCAAGGGCGAGGGTGGCCTCCTTCTGGGATGCAGCCAGGAAGAAAGCTGCTGAGGAAAAAAGCACCAACACCTCAGCACAGATCTGAGCGATCAATGCATCTGAGCTGTCGCCTGCTCCACTGCCACTGCTCGCCCCTTGGCAAGTGCTGCAGTGTGCCAACAGTCCCACTGGCTACAAATAGGAGCTGGGAAGTGGTGATGGGGCAAGCTGGGATGGGGCCATTCTGGATCTCACTCATCTTCCCACAGGGATGAGGTGACAGGATGGCGAAGGGGAAAGAAACTGGTGTGGTTTGTGGGGGACTCAGAACCCTTGTGGGACACTGTCCCCAGCCAATGGGATCCACTAGGACACCAGTCCTCCCACACACCCCCAGCCAACCTGCCCCTCCTTGGGGTCAGCCCCAAGGTGGGTGATGTGGAAACTACAAGAGCAGGATATGGGGTGTCCTTTCTGCTGTACTCCCAGCACCCTCACTCCCTGGGTGGACAAAGCCCCTTGCAGAGGCAAAGCCACCATCACCCAGCACCCATCAGTGGGGTGGGATTGCAACCATGCTGGTGGAGCAGAAATACCTTTATTTCACCCCCATCTCTCATCTGGAGGATGGTGAGAACAGGGACACGGGGAAATAAAAACAGAGTGAGTCCTTTGGCATAGTGAGTGTTTTCCCTTCACAGTAATCCAGTAAGGAAATAGCTAATTATCTGAGACAGGGTAAATTTTTATTTCTGTCAAAAAAAACCCCTTTAAAATTCATGTAGCAGTGCATCTCTTTACCCAGTTTATCTTCTCCTCTTTGCTCCCCAAAAACAGCCTGCAGTGGAGAGAGCATGGGGAAGCACAGCCTGTGGCAATGCCATCTCTCCTGGGGCAGGCAGGGAGGATTTTTGCAGAGAGAAGCCAATTAAGAGCTATCACTCAGGCAGGCATCATCTGCTGAGAAATCAGGAGCTTCATTACCTCTCTTCTCACCACACACGCAGGCACCAGCTCACTGTTGCAGACTCTGGTAGCCACACGTGCCGGAACACACTGCTGGGGGCAAGCTGTCCCCATGGGGCAAGATGACAAGTGCTGTCAAGAGGGGACAGAGCACCTTGCTGAGGACAAGGCATATGGTGTCTCCTTGGTCACTGGTGAGCAGCAGGACTTGCTGTGATGCCTCTGGAGGGCTTGGTTAGTGAGGGTGGCACAGGAGGGTGTTGGCACCACCCTCCACTGCTCATGTGTCCCTCGTGGTGCTAAGGAACTGTACCAAATTCAGTCCCCTCTCCACTGTTCCACTCTGTGTCCTGGTGGTGTCCAGGCACAGGGACATTTGGGGACCACAGCTGCAGGTGTGCTGCTCCTCTGAGCTGACCCTGGTTTTGCTCTAGTTGATGTCTGGGCTAGATCCCAGAAGCAAGGAAGGCCTTTGCAGATGGACCACAAATGCCTTTCAGTAGGTGTAACTTGAAGATGCAATTTAAATCTTTAAATCACTGATGGTACTTCCAAAGATTTGGAGACTCAAGCCTAACTGGTGTCAGAAGCACCCAATTTAGGAATTCCTAGGCCAGACGGGGCCTGTGTCTCCCCACCCAAAATCAGCAGGATCTCCCCTCAGGCCGAGAAGCTGGTGCTGCCCCTTCAGCTATGCCAGAGGATGGGATGGATGGGACGGGATGGGTGGTGGGAAAGCCTCTCTTCTCCCCCCACCCTGCTCCACTTCTGCCCATTTCTGCTCAGGAGCTTTTCTGGCTGTAGGGCTGGGCTCAACTTGCTCCCATCCTCTGAAGGCCTCTCAGCAGAAATGCCCCCACTCTGCAATTGCTCTCTCTACTTTTGGAGACACAATGCTTAACCAGTTTTTAATCCTTTCAGTATTCGCTGACTTCATTTTTAAATGAATCTTGTTGCTTAGTCAAAATGTCAGGCAGGATCAATCCCAGTTTCTCACAGGAATCAGCACAGACAGAGCGCTGCCTTCTCCTGGCACAGAGAGCTGAGGGACAGCCCACTGGGCAAGGGGTCCTTCCTGCCACCCAGGCAGGCTCCCTGCCCAGACTCACACAGTTAAAGAAGTGCCATGAAGATATGACTTTATTCCAAGCACCTGAGTTTGGCAGGATTGTGTGTCCATCCTGCCACAGCTCTCGTACCTTTCTCAGCACTACAGTTACTGAAGTGATGGAAAAGGGATGGGGAGATCAGTAAAGGAAGATGCCAGGGGAGGAGAAATGAAATGCGAAGATAAGTGCAATATCTGCTGAAATGCCATCCTCAAAATAGTTTATCAAAGTCTAGGCATAGGCACCAAACTCTTGACAGTATTAGGCTAGAAAAAGGGAAGTTTGCTTCCAAGAGTGCTTTCATACCTAAGTACTTTCTCCAAAACTGCAGTATTTTCCAGGTGTTGACTGTGCTAAAATAGCCTTACACATCAGTTTACTTGTTTTCTAGAAGAGGAAAGGCTGGAAACACCACATCTGGAACTTGGCCAAACTGCTGGGATGGAACCACACCAAGAGTTATGAGGTGGGGACTAGTCCAAGAAAGCTAAGACAGATATTAATGAGCTGTTTATATTTTCAAAGATCAGTTTGGCTGGAGGGCCAGATCTTTACGGATCTATATGAGGATTGATCTTTCATATTTTCACTAGCAAGCTGGCATAGGAAAGAGGGGTACCTTAATGTCATTTGCTAATGAGACAAATTAGGAAACTGAAATTTTGTTTTCAAATACAGACAAAAGTTTCCAAATTTTCAATATACATTATATTTTCAGTAATATATTTTCAAGTACAACAAAAATTTTGTTTTGAAATACAGAAGAATAGAGAAACTGGGCTACCTTGAAGGCAGGAGTGGTGGAGATGGGAGGAAATGCAGGGAAATGTGATGAGGTGTTGCCAGCAGGAATTGCTGCAGCAGGCAGGGAGGTCCTCAGCTGGCAGCAACCAGGAAAAGGCCTGAGCCATTACTCCAACATGAAAAAGGCAGATCTGATGTTTGGGTAATTGGTTCAGCAAAAAAATATTCATGAAGCATAATGGCAGGGCAGTGATGGGCCACAGCTGGACTCCAGAAGACATTTTCAGCCACAGCACATGAGATGAATTTTAATGGAAAGGAGGCAGAGCAGGTGGTGGAAGAACAGGGAACAGGACCTGGCAGTGGCTGGCGTAACCTGCTGGGACAGAGGCAGATGGCTCCCTACAAATATCCCTGGGGCACAGGAGGAAAAAGATCCTGTTTGAACTGAAGTGGATTGGCAGCACTAGTTGCCTGTAGTCTGGACCTATGGAGGGAATTATGCAGGGGACTGATAAAAATGATCCATTTTTTTCCTCTTTTTCTTCTCATCTTTTTTTCCCTCCCCACACAGACATTATTGATTGCTATGCTTGTCAGCTCGTGAGCAGTTTTGAACGGTGGCTCTGGCTTCTGTATCTTCCTGCTGCTGCTACTTCTCCACTCTGATGATCCCAGCAAAGCCGAGGAGCTATCCTGTGAAATGCAACCCTTTTGCCAGGTTGATATTGCTCTTTGCACCAAGCTGCCTGTGCAAAATCTGGAGGCAAAGCCATGCTTGAGCTAACATGTATCAGCAAAGTGCTCCAAAGCTTTGCTTAGGCATCATCAACTGTTCCCACAGCACCTGGGCAGGCTCTGCTGCACCACACTGCCCACCTTCCCCACTCCTCCCACAGATGAAAATGAGATGCCTTATTGGCATGGCAGAGGAGAACCCTAAATTACAGGTAAGCAAAAGGCTGGTCCCCATGTGCTTTGCAGCCCCTCGGCCTCTGCTTTACAGTCACCTTTTAATCTTTTCTGGAGTCAATATTTTTAAGTCCCTGTCTGTGAAGGAGTTTAGGTGACACCTGAGCTAAACCCCACTGCCCAGGTGCAAAGGGAGAGAATCACCATCTGGTACCTGGCAGTGTGATGTGGAACAGCAGAGCCTGCCTCAAAGGCATCTCCCAGCACCACCTCAGTGTGAGAGCAGCATGACATTTACAAATCAAGTGCTACAATTTCCCCCCCATTTAAGCTCTGCTCAGCCACAAACAACATCAATAATGAGCAAGCACCACCACCCATTTAGGTGGTGCCAGCTGGCAGCGATCCAGCATGGCCTGCTCCCAGCAAGGCATAGGAAGGGACGTGAATATTATTTCACCCACCATGCCCCACGCAGGCATCCAGCTAAGGCAGGAAAAACAATACACCTAGATCTCTTCACCAGACCTTCTAAAAATTGTCATGCAAAGGGTTGGGGAACTCAGAAGAGATTGATCCTGCAGCTAGCCAGGTGTGATGCATGCAGCACTCCCAGTTCAGGGTGAGTTGTCTGATGTGAAGCAGAAGCCATTCCTTCATCCTGCAGAGCACTGGGCCCTGCCACAAAGCACCCCCCAGGCTCTCCTGGTGCCCAACTGCCCCCAGCAGTGACCACCACCCTTCATGCTGTGCCCTGCTGATGGATGTCCCAGCCCTGCTATCAGGCACAATCTGCCCCAGCCTCACAGCCACCCAAATAGGGCCCATGTTTGTACCCACTGCCAGAAAACCCACCCTCCCTGCTGCTTCCCTTGGCTCAGGCAAGGCAGGGAACATTCTGGGGGTCTTCCATCCATTGCCACAGCTGCTACTACAACCACTGCTGCTAAAAGCAGCTATCTCCAGCCTCCAGCAGTTTGGAGACATAGGTAATCTTTCTGGAGTAATTACCAGCTCACTCCCTTAGAGGAGTTCATGGATGAGTCCTCCCTGGCAGCTAATTACTTCAATTACTTCCTGACACAGAGCCCAGGGCTCTCTGCAGCAGCACACAGCACTGCTTGGCAGCTCCTTACTCCTTCTGTGCTTCCCTTCCCAAAGCAGCAAGTGCCCCAGAACTCCTCCTCTGGGACCACAGAGGACATGCTGGCATGGGTGGGTGGTGGTGAAATCTTCCCATTGCCAAGGACAAGGAGCTAAATGGTTTCTCAAGACATGCCCCAGGTGCTTGTTCAACATGGCTGCCTCACCTTAAGGGAACCCTGAGCACCCCTTTCTCCTACAGGTTTATGCAGAAGAAAGCTCAGTAGAACTTTCTAGCATAGGGCTCCCTCTGCCTAGGAGGCTCACAGGGAGTGAAGCCAGCCTACGTTAGGACTGGGCTGTAGCAGCCAGTGACAGGTTCCAGACACCTAAAGGCAAAACAAGTTATTTGCCAGCAAGCTTGGGAAGAGGGGGTGTGACAGAGCAGGGGGATGAATTTGGGACAGACACATCACCTGTGTATTGCATCTCCCCATAACATGGTCACCAAAGCTCATAATGCCCTGTCAAAGGCCTGAGAGTAAGACAAGAGTCAGTCCTGCTGACTCAGGAACCCACCTTGTAAATGCAGTTTGGGAAGCTCTCCCCCCACATCTGTAGGTTGCTCTGACTTCTGACAGCTTCCTGGGAAGCAAGAACAGGTACTGCCGTTGTCAGCACAACCCTCAGTGGTACTGGCCAGCCCTAGACATCTTACAGTCTGGTCCTGCACAGCCATGCTGACAGACACCACAGGAAAACTCACACACTAAGGGGACAAGGGTTTTTGGAGTCAGGCAGAGACCTCCTCAGCCTTATGCCTCAATATGCTCATGGGGCAGAGGTGCAAACAGCTGGTTTCAGCTCCCAGTACACCACCACCACTTCAGGGCAGCACCACCAACATCTCAGACATTGTCACTGCATCCCTGCTGTCACACAGGGCTTTGCACACTGGGTTATCACCAGCCTTGCATCTGTTCTGGAAGGCAAGCCTTAGGCTCTTACCAAGGAGAGCACAGCTCCAGCCAGGCCTCCGGAGAGGAGACATCAAGCAGCAGACACTACCCACCAGGAACCAGAAGAAGATCATCTCAGGAGAAGGGATTGAGGTGTGCACAGGCTCTCTGTGCCCATTTGAGTTTTAGAAAGCAGAGATGGAGGGGAAACCTTGCCTAGAAATCATGCAGTGAGAATGAGAAACCACACAGGACTAGGAGTGGAAGAGTATTTATTGCTTTGGTTTTTTACAAGTGAGAGATAGGCATCCATGCTGCTTGCAGCACAGCACAGGGGATGCAGGGACACTGGGAACACAAGTTGCAGTCTCTCTGCATTCTCCTAGACATCAGGGAAGAGAGACCCTAGAAAAGGCAGCTGCCAGCTGAGAGAATGGTTTGTATGAAAAGTTATTGCTACAAGACCTGGAAGGTCAGGGACAGCTTCTCCAGAGCCTGCAAAAGACACTGACTCATAGCTTAGCATGCTCAGCATACAGATTACAATGAGGACACAAAAAAACCCTCATCTACCAGCCTCTGCTCCATCTAGGAAAGATCAGGTCAGCCACAGACTGGTATTAAAAGCCAGAGCTTTGCTCACCCCAAGTGAAGCTTTTATTGTCTTTATCTGGAAAAAGCCCAGACCAAAGCTTCTTACATAAAGCTGAGCACTCCCCAAACCTCTCCTCACCTACAGCTGAGCCAGTACTGCTCTGCACACTGATGAGATGCTATGGCACCTCCATGCTCATCCTGCACATCCACATTACTCGTTCAAGCAACTGCCACAACAGAGAGACTTTCACATCCTCCATCTCATGAGGCCCAGCAGCATCCCATGACACGGCACAGTACTACCTCCCTTGCTCATCCTCTGAGCACAAAGAGAGGAAAATTACTTGGCCCCTCTCCCTTGGGATACTCAATGCCTTTTCCTTCCACTCCTCCAGCCTCTGGGAATAGGCACTGTGAGGATGCTCCCATATCTGATTGAACCACACAAAAAAGAACGCCAGAGACTAGGAACAAAACAAAACCAAACCAGAACAAAAATTAGCAAGGCCCCCAACCTGGGCACCCCACCAGAGAGCCAAAGGGCACATCAGCAGAGGAGCTGTGGCCAAGAAAGCTGGCAGCTGGTGCTCAGGCATCCACCAATGTCAGCCCATCGTGCAGAGCACGCTTCCACATGTAATAGGTGGAACGGGCCGTAAGCGGGAAGCGGGCACTGAACTCTTTGTAGGTTGGGAAGGTCTTCGACTCAAAACGCTGCTGCAGGAACAGCTTGGCCTGTGCCTTGAATTGGGCAGTGGCAATCACATCCATCACAAACATCCGGCTGTTGGCTCTCTCCGACATGGCATAGCTCGAAACGGTGGTGTTGCACGGCATGGCAGGCACTGGCTTATCTATGTGCTTGGTGGCTGCCTCCAAATGGCACTGTGGTTTGAGGCCTGGCTCTGCTTTTGGAGGTGCCAGGGAAGCCACATGGTTCAATGGCAGGCTGGAGCTGCTCCACGGCAGACGATGCTGCCAAATGGTTTGGCCACTGCCCTTCCAAAACCAGTAGGCTGTGGAGGAGAGAGATGGATAGCGCAGGCGGTACTTGCAGAACGGCAGCTGCCATTGCTGGACCTGCCTCCTGGCCACATCTCGCAGCTGCTTTCTCCAGCACAGAGAAGGATGGAGCTGCAGGAGACTCCTGGACACTGAGCGGTCTCCATTCCGTCTCTTCCTAACAGGCACGCTGCTTGGCTTCAACTGCAGGAATGGCTTTCCTATAGCTAGAGTTTTCTGGTTATCCAAGGGTGATTGGGGGTGTTTGAAGTTGGGGTTCTCCTTGATTGCTTTTCTTCGCCAGTTATAGTAAGTGGACCTGGAGATGCCAGGGAAGCTGCGTTTGAAGCACCTGTAAGGCACCAGAGTGTTCATGGAAATGCATTTCTCCAGGTAGGATTTGGCTCCTTGCATAAAGATTCCTGCTTGAATGGGATCTAGGGAAGGACTTGAGGATTTTAAGCTCCCCTGTGGATTTGCTGGCTCATTCACATCGGCCTTTTTTGGGACAACCCTGTGAAGTTCCTGCAACCTGTGGGCCTCAGACAGAGCAGAGGCATCACCATTGACCATGCTCTGCATCTCATGCTTCCAGGCATAGTACGTGGATCGGGAGATTTCTGGAAACATTTGTCGGAAGTGCTGGAGGGGGATTACATTGCCCTCCTGAAAGCAGGACTGGAGGAAATGTTTAGCTGCAAACCTGGCAGCCGCTTTCTGCCGGTGTTCACGAGACTGGCGCTTCCAGCGGTAGAAGGTGCTCTTGGTAATGCTGTAGCGGTCACGCAGGTTGGAGTAGGTCAACTGGGGGTCACTGTTCAGCAGCTCAAGGGTCTTCATGGGCTGGACAGGAGGCTCTGGTGAAGGTATTGTGGGTTCCAGCTCCTCCAGGCCAACCACAGCCACAAAGTACTGCGCTTTAAAGACTTGCCGGGAAAGCTGCTGCCCGGACCACATGATGTGTAGCGTGGAGGTTCGTGGGCCGCACTTCCTGGGCCGGATAAGCCGGTTAAAATAAGGTCGGATCTTCAAGTTGCTCATGGGATAGATGGAGTAGATGTTACACTGCAGTACTGAGGCAAGAGCATAGACATGCCACATGTTGGCAAAGGTTCCAGGAAAACAGGTAGCTTTGATATCAGCATCAAAGATGGCTTCCAGGATAGCCATGGGGAGGCTGGTCATCTCTGGGGTCTCCTCAGTGCAGAGGGAATAGCGGGCAGCCTGCAGCATCACTTTGGAATCAATCATGCCATTCAAGTAGTATTGTTTGTGCAGCAGCATCTCCACCACAGTACGCACCTGCAGCTCCAGGCTGAGGCTGGGGTTGCCCCAGAGCAGCACACTGGCAGCCTCAAAGAGGCGGTTTCCCTCACCTTTGCAAACGAGAGGCAGCATGTTACTTGGGGCATCCTCAGGATAGAGGCTCCTGGCTACCCGGTCAACCTCCAGCTCCTCTTGGAACTGACTCCCACAATAGCCAGGTAGGGAGAAAGATGACAAGGTCCTCTCTGCCTCCAGTGCAGCACTGGTGAGGCCCTCCAAACCAAAGCATTCGGTGGCTTCTTGTAGCTCCTGCAGCACAGACTGCACCAGCTGGTGCCTCTGGATCATCCTGAAGGATGGAAATAAGAAAGAAGTCACTGGAGATGAAGTGCACCCTCCAGACTGGCAGTGGCCTGGCCTCCAGGTCCAGCTCCTGCCCAAAGGACAGGATGGGGAAAAAAGGTAGAGGAAAGGCCACCATGCACATTCCAAGGACTAAGGAGGAAGCCTCGGTCCTCATCAGGCAGACCTGGGAGTGAGACATGGGCTCAGCTTGCTCACCAGTGACCTCCTGTGGGCAGCACATGTGGCACACAGCCTCCACTTGTCTAAAACTAAGGAGTGACCTCACCCATGGGGTGGGAAGCCAGGTCACCTCATGCCACTGCATACCTGGCTTTGGGTCTGGCATTACCCCTACACCTACCTCTTCCAGTAGTAGTTCCATCATTTCTGTTTTACTACTCCCCTACCAGCACCCAGAGAGAAGAGTTTCCCTCAAAGGGAAAATGTTCATCTCTGCAGAAAAGGACCTGTGACAGAACCACCCCGAGTGAGGCCATAGATGCACCTGGCTCAAGCTGTTCAAGCTCAACAGAAGGGGAAAGGAGCGTGTCCTCTCCCTCAGAGCAGGGCACTGCAGCTGCACTCATTTCACGCACCAAAAACTGTCACAGAATCTGGGATGGAAGTGAGAGCCAGCCCAAGCCATGGCTACTGCTGCTTGAGCCGACACTAGATGTCACTTGCTGCTCAGCCGACACACACCACCAGCTAAGGAGAAGGCACAAAAGGAGGGCTTCCCCTAGATGAACTACCAGATGAACTTTTGAGGCAACCCAATAGTACAGACAGGGTGCAAGCACTGAGTGGGTATTTCAAAGTCTTTATGGAATGCTCCTCCTTGCCTGAGCAGGTCCCAGTCCTGTCCTACCTCCCCTTCTGCATGCCAATACCCACTCATGAAATACAAAGGGCCAAACCTGCACTGCCCTCTTTGTCCAGCTTTTGGATTCCTATGTGGTTCTCTGTCCACTACTCCAGAAGCTTTCATGATAGCTACACAGCTCTTAGCTTCAGCTTCATCAGTGCAGCCCTCTTCAGCATCCTTTCACTGTCAGGCTCAGGCCTCTCCCCAGCTAGCCTACTCTCTCTCTTTTGGGCCAGTTTTCTCCTGGGGACCACAACACCTCACTCAAGAAGCCAAATCTCCTCTATTTCTTCCTAAGCTTCATTCTCATATCTTGCCTAATACGTACAGCATCACTTTACAGCCTGCTCAGTTCACAGCCCAGCCAGAACTCACCTTCTCTCAACACTTCACAGTTATCACTATGCACTCACAGCTCTGAGGAACATGAGGAACAGCGGAAGCAGGAAAAGCAGCAGCTTTGCAGTAAAGCAGATGTCCTGCCTGAACTCTCACAATTTGCAGCCTTGCTGCAGAGATGATTATCAGTGCTGTAACATCTGTGGCCCCTGACCATGACCAAACCACATGAGGTGCCACAGAATCACATGGATACATACAGGCTCTTCATCACAAGAAGCCTCCGTGCTGCTGCTGCCCCTTGCCTTTAATCAGATCACAGGTAGTCACCAATTGCATCCCTTCCCCTGCTCCAAACTCCTCCACAATCTCCTGCATGTCAGAGGCCAGAACATTCTTACAGCTGCTCCCACAGCTGTAGGGCATCAGTTACTAGAGACAAACACAGGAGAATGCACACAGCTGTGAAGCAGGGCAGATTAAACCAGTCCTAAAATCCTGGTCTGATAAGGTATGGAACTGTCACTTCAGGTCAGGTCTACATTGTTGTTTTCCTAGAAGTTTGTAGAAATTTACAGTAGTTTATAGAAATTTTGACTAAGCCTATGTTGAGTGACATGTGCTTGAGAAGCTGAAACAAAGGCACAGCTCAGGGCAACTTATAGGGCTGACAGAGCCCAAGTCCTCCCTCTCTGTGGTCTGCCAAATGCTTTAGGGTCCAGCCACCTCCCCTTGCAGCAGCCAAGGTTTGCTGAGCACTGTCCTACCAGAAGAGCCAAGAAAAGTAAGACAGACTTTTTTCTCCCTGAAGAGGTTGAGGATATACTTGACACAGGCTAGAGAGCATCAGCAACAACCCTGGTATTTCTGTCCTAGTGGGCATTTCCCACCCCCTTATAGACTGGGGGAGATAGAGAGAGGGAGAGCTGGAGGCACAGCTTAATGGCCATTAATCCTTTTCTTCAGCAATAAATCTACAGCCTCAATGTCACTGTCAGCTCCTGCTGCCCAGAGCAATCTTAAGGCAAAACCCACAGCTGAATCAGCAGCAGAGAGCTCCTGGGGCAGGTGGAGAGGCGCTTGGCTAAATCAGAAGCAGAAACCAGACAAGTTGGTGTGCTTGGTGCATGGCCAGATCAAACCCAGCAGCTCTCAGCATAGAGGACCTGATGCAAAGGGAACACTTTTCCCTGCACACCCCCAGGGAAGCATGCTGAACACTACAGACAAGTGTTCACTAAACTACCTCAGCACCAAGAAGTAACCAAGGGAGCTTCTCGCTGCTGATAAAGGTTTTACCTAACCTGGCCACTTTTGCATCGTAACAGATAAGGAAACAGCTGCAGGTCACGTTCCCTCACCTAAACTGATGGGCTGGTGGCATCCAGTAGTGCAAGTTCCCCCAGCCAGTCCCAAAAATGCTCCCACCAGCAGGAATCCAGGAGACTTCAGCCCCAACTACCCAGGACCCTGGTACCTCACAGGAGCAGGGTTATCCATGCACTCCGGCCCACCTGGGTTAAGTGGCTCACTTCCCAGCCCCAGCTGCGGGTTCAGGCCACCCCAGTAATAATGGCTCTCATTTGAGAGAAGAATATTTGAGCTACCAGGACCGTACAGCAGGAGCACAGAAGTGGTAGTCTCCAGGAACTGTCTAGGCTAGAAATATCACCGGAGGAGCTCCAGGGGTGAGCAGCAAAGGCAGGAGGATGCCCGCTCCATCTGCCAACATCCACACGTCCCCCGAAGCTCACAAACGGGGCTTCGCTCACCGGGAGAGGGAAAAGCCTCAGACCCACCTTAACCTAGGCCGAAGCGCTGCAGCCAAACCCGGCTTCGTCCGCCCCTCGGGCGGGGGCACTGAGCGCTCGGGTGCGAGCGGCGCCTGACAGACACCCCCAGCCCCAGGCACCCGCGGCTGCTCACGCCTCCCCCGAAGGCGGCGGAGGTGGCTCTGTG